TTAGAGCTACTAAACATTTTTTCTAGAACAAATATCCCAACTAGAATTCAAAAAGAGTCTTCCATTGTTATATAGATTTAAATATCAAATTATTCATCTAAATACAAAATATCAAAAATAAAATGACACATTGTCTTTTTATTTATTTATTCATTGGTCATCCAAATACAACAAACATAAATAACAATTACTTCAGCCTTTTTACAAGTTCCAATATCACAATTTAAAACCATGTTTTCCACTTAAAGCTCAACCTTCATGAACACATCTACTATTTTTTGAGAGATACTCAACAAAATTGTGCATGTACTGATCATGTAGGACCTTGTCACCAAATAGGGAACTCATTTCTCTTGCTTTCTTCCTATAAATTAATCCCTCGTTATTGTCTACCATAACCAATCTGATTGAGTCGGCCACTAAGTTCCTTGTGAAGGACCCATCTTCTTCATCTATGGGTATCTCAATCCTAACCTTCTTCTTATGGAGTACCCTTGCATTTAAACCTTGGTCTACCATGAACGGCAACATAATAAGTGGTTTCCCAAACTAGAGTCCCTCTATCATGGAACTCCATCCATAGTGACTCAAGAAACCTTCCACTGATTCATGACCCAATATCTTCAGTTGAGGCGTCCAACTCTTCCGCACTACTCCTCGACTTCTGGTTCGCTCCTCGAACCCATCCGGCAGCTCCACCAATTCGGACTTGTTCGAACCAAGCAGCTTCCTTAATGCCCAGAAAAAGGGCAAACCAAAGAGCTCCAACCCAAGGCCAACTCAGTGACTTCTTCTTGACTTGGCATGGCTTCGCTCCCCAATGCTCCGTAAACCACAGAGCCATAGTTTTGGTTGTTGAGTTGCTCACTGATTGAAATCCACGTCTCGTTGACTCCACCGTATTCAACCACCGCCAGTGGCATTAAGCCGAGTGGAATTACAAGTTTGGGTTGAAGATCTTGGAGGAGAGTTAACCATTGGGGCTCAAACTCTGTGTGGTGTCATATGGCGTAGACGTCGCACCCCAACACTACCGATCCATATCAATATAAGTCGGAAACCCTAGAAGCATTATTTATTGCACAAGCTAGGATTCACTTTGTCTCATAGAGGCGATAGGCTACGTTGGTAATTGGACCCACTTAGGTGGGATAGTGAACTGCTTCATCTCCATTAGGGTATCATCATAACCATCGATCAAAGCCAATACTGGACCATAGAAAGTTGCATGCCAAGCGTTGAAGATGAGGAAAAAGGCGCGAGAAATGCTGAGTTTGGTGGCAATAAGGGGCAACCAATAAGGAGTAAAGTCGCAAATGATCCAATCAAGTGCGGAAGCTTGAAGGAAGCCAGCCAACCCAGTCTCGAGTCCGTCGAAGGCTTTCTTCAGGTAAGGAATATGGTCGGAGGGGACGTCCATGGTGGCCTCTGCATTTTCAAGAAGGTGGTCGTCGACGTGGGGCAATGGGAGCTCAACAAATTGTATGAAAGGAGATAAATTATGAGGCAGGTTTGGCAAGCGACAACAAAACTTTGCTCTACTAGCCATGTGCACAGTAATCCAAAGATACACCTCTTCACAACAACATACCAGTTTACCAGGCGCTAGCTGGAAGGGTATGGTGCCTTATATTCTCAGCGCGGTCAGCTCTCCAGGCGCTAGCTGGAAGGTCACGGTACCTCTGATTCTCAGCGCAAGGTATAACACCACCAATCGAAATGCAACAGGGCATAACCAACATGCACAACATATATACATAAACCATCCAGATACAAACAATGTGTTAAAGTATATGAACACATAGGTGTGTGGAGTCCATCCCCTATCTTCTCACACACACTGGAGTACAACCCCTCTCTCCTCCCTAACAAGTATACATATATAATGCATCTCAATATTTCATCACATAAGATGTTCGATCAATAATGGTGTAATGCATACACGACAATTCAACACAACCACGGTCATCCTCCACCGATGACCAAGGACAAAACCTCTAGATGCAAATACTTAGTACATCTATTAAAGACTCAATTACTATAAGACCACAAACTCAACAACAACATTAACATGGTAGTTAAAGATACAATCCCTCACATGCATGTGTGTTCAACACTCACGAAACAACAATCCAATTTTCATACGTATGTCAAAATATCTTTTCCATTTCACAAAACAAGTTCCATATCCCTTTTGTTTTCACAAAATCAACTTTGTCACTTTTGTTGTTACAAAACCAAATTTATTCCTTTGTTTTACAAAGCCACTTCCATTGATATTAAAGTCGTAACTCACATTAGTCCACTACATTCATTTCAAACCATTCCAAAGCCAAAGTTAATTCCTTAGGCATTAACACCTTCACCCAACCCATATCAACACTAGAGAATTACAATAGAGATTCACTATCCTCCATTTTAATTTATCAATCAAAATATGATTTAGGGCTTTTTCTTCCATCAACTACAACATGCTAATTTACACTCCAATTAGCCCAAAACATCCATGAATGACAACATAACCATTTTCCAACACCCAACCCTAGGTTCCTTATCATGATTTCGAACAAATCCAACATGGATATGATTTTTATGCAATACAAAATTACCACATGTCTATCTATAGACGAAGTATTGAAAAAGAACAAGGAGAATCCCTACCTCAAATGGAGAACTCAAATGGAGAAGATGACCCGAAATCAAAGTGCTCCAAATCCCAAATTTCTTGGATCACAACGAAGCCCTCGACGATCAACACATTTCTTGCAAAGGCCCAAGGTGAGGAAAACACTCTAGCTAGATCAATCCTAAGAGAGAAGTTAGGTTTTAGAGTGAGGTGCTCTCCAATGGCTTTTTCGGAAAAGTAAGAGAGAGAAAGGAAATCAAAAAGTGATTCAAAAAGCTGAATCTCGGTGTGTTATACAGGTCGCCCCGCTCGAGCGTGGAAACCCCCGCTCGAGCCTCACTCACAGACTCCCGCTCGAGCGCCAAAAACCCCGCTCGAGCGGCGGATACAACCATCCAGAAGTTTTGCAGAATAGGTCCCCGCTCGAGCGTCCATCTCCCCGTTCGAGCGTCTCGCACAAACTCCCGCTCGAGCGTCAAACCTCACGCTCGAGCGTCCAACACTACTGAGGAAATACTGGGAAGGTGATTTTCCCGCTCGAGCGCCGAAACCCCCGCTCGAGCGGAGAGGTCAAAAACTGGGCAAAGATTCTAGGTTTTAAAACACAACCAACATAACCCAACAAGTCCAACACAACCCAAAACTCTAAGATAAAGAGTAAGGGACAGAAAAGAGAATGAGACAACAACAAATCTACGGAACCGAGTCCGGATTACAGTTCAATAACAACAGGGAATACTGGGATCGCTATACTGATTGGTTTTTTTTTTAAAAAAAAAATTCTAAGAAAAATGCTTGGGATCCCCTTTTTTAGAGACCCTACAACCCTTTTGGATCTCGACTATTTATGTATGTGTGAGATCTACTCAGGTACGTGTATGACCCGCACTATCAATGATTGAGATCTAAAAGAGATTATGAGATCTCAAAAAAAAGAAAATCTTAATCAGTATCATTTTTTTTAAATACACTTGTTGAAAATCTCAATCAGTATTTTTTTTTAAATACACTTATTGAACTGGTGGATGGGTACTCTCTCGGGTTGTAGGAGTGTAACTGTCTTGTTTAAGAATTAAATATTTTAGTTAGAAAGTTAAAAAAATTATATTAATATTTATATTTTTTTATATATCTAATTACTATCAAAGAAATATGGAAAAAAGACAAAAAAAAAAAAAAAAAAACTCTAAGGTCTTCTTAATAAAGTAAATCTTGAATTTTTAATTTTATAAATTTAAATTTTTTAATTTATTTTTAATTTAAATCATCTGTTTCATATATATATATTATATATATATTTGATTAAAATTCAATGGAATAAAGTTTATGTTGAACATGCATTAGCTATGAACACAAATGACAACATAGAAACTATTTTTCTATATTTGGTGGTGGTAGTGATAGAATGAAGGTGAGAGTAGTAAAATTTTAGTTCAAAAAATGTTTTTCGCTTTCTAAAAGTGAAAAATATTTTCTGCCTTGTTTTCCATTGACCATAAAAAATATTTTCGATTGATTTTCATTTTCTATTATACCAAACACCAAAAAATATTTTCCGTCCAAACAACAAATCACTAGTGGAGGACCCATCATCATCACCTTGCAAGAGCTGATCGTAGTTATCATCATCTATATTAAACTAGGGATCTTGCTTATCACCCATCTCTTCATTGGCACACTCGTTATTGTCCATGAACAAGTCTTTACTATAACAAACACCTTTTTTTGCAGTTCTCTGTTTTGTGCCCTGCCTAACTATACTTAAAACAGGGTGTGGAACATGAAGGACTACAATTTGGAATGGAAACAAACAACGTTTTAAATAGAAAATATTCTCCACTGAAAGAAACAGAGGTTCATTTTGAAATCCAGAAATGCTTTCATTTAAAATAAATAAAAAAAAAAGTCTGACCTATTGTTCAAAATGTAATTTTTTTGCCACTGCTCTAATGAAATATAATTTTCCCTAAAAATTAAATATTCGAATGATGGGTGAAACAATCATTTATAGTATGACATCATGCCAATTTTTAACACATCATTCTGGAGAGCAAAGCTTTCAGACTACCTGTGGAAACCTCTACCTCCCTGCCCTCTTTTCCTTAAAACTCAACAGTGATTTTTTAACTTTTAATAGTGATTTTTTAACTTTTAACAGTGATTTTTTTTTTTTGGGTATTAATTAATTAAGAGGTGACAGAGGAAGAATAATAAAGAGTAAAAATTAAAAGGAACGACCAACATTGTTTGGCTTAGAAATTAATTTCCTAATAGAACAATCATTAATTAAAAGAAATTAATTTCCTAATAGAACAATCATTAATCAAAAGGATTGTCTTGCCCAATGCACACTTGCAGCCATGAACAATTCTCATGGTGAATATAATTAGGTTAAGAAGTCGGTCATGGTTATTTTAACATATAAAATTCAAGAACAATGTTTATTTATAGTTACAACAATTCAATGCAACCAGAAATTCAAATATCTAATTATAGTTCTTACACACTTGAAATTCAAATGATGTCAAAATCTAATTCTTACACATTTGAAATCAGAATAACATCAAAATTATGACAACACAAACCTAATACTACAAAGCTTATTAAAACTAGCCAGTGATGAATGAATTAGGCTTCCAACTCAATCTCCATAGCCAACTCACCTGAACCAGAAGCAACCGAATTGTTATCGGATGAAGAGGGGGAAGCACAGGGATTTGCTTGCCCCATTTTTGCATGCCACTCATCAATACTTGCAAATTGATCAGTATCATGTAGATAGAGTAGTTCATGATTTCCAAAAAATTTCAGAATCTTTTCAGTTTCGCCGAGAAGTTGAGCTACGAATCGGACATTCTCCTCCCTCTTTTCAATGGCACTGGAAAAGCACTTCATGGTTATAACACCAGGTAAGTTGGTAAGGCAAGCACCCAGTATACCTGTAATCACATAACACTACATAGGTAAGTTGATAACACAAGTACCAAGTTAAGTCGTTATATGCATCTGACTAAGCATAGGTCATGAGTTCAAATCCCATATAAACTGTTTGATTCAATTGGGGCCACCCTTATGTTGTATTTTGTTAAGGGATTTGGGGAGAGATTTGGGAAGGGATTTAGAAAAAGAAAAGGAAAAGGTGTGTGAAACTAGGTGAAATGTAAGTATATTTTATTCCTATTTCACCTGGTTTTTCCTTTTCTCTTTCCAAATCTCTTCCCAAATTTTCCAACCAAATATAGCGTTAGAGTTTGTGCCCAGTAATTGCCAAGTATGCATGGGTCGGGTGACTGTAAAAGTACAAGGAAAAGCCTCATATACACTTGTTAAAAAAAAAAAAGAGAAGAAAAAGACGAAGCATACCTGCGATCATGTCAAATAATTTCAGGAACAGTTCGTCATGATTTATCTGGTGATTGTTACCTTCAGCATCCAGCAATAAAGATTTGCAAATTTTGTACATGGAATTAGCTGCTACAACGTTAATGGACCAATTGGTAGGGTTCCCGACGGGGCTTGCATTGATATTTGCCTTGTATTTCATTACAATTTTCTGAGCAAAATCAGCGACTATTTGAAAAGTCTCTCTGCAAGATGTTTCTTTGGGAGCTATTCTGGTCAGATCTTCATCAAGCCACTTGCCTTCAAGTTCGACTCCTAACCACACTTTATCAGCTGCATCTCTACTATTTGTGAGGTTCCCTTTGGTATCCACGGTTTTGTCAACATGTCTGACATGCGAGAGGCCTTCGCTCACGCTGCACACAAGCCTGTCAGCCATGTTCTTATTGATTTTGGAAATTGCAATAACGATGCAAGTTAGAGTCACCAATGGCAAAGCCCAACAATTAAGAGGTTCTTGAGAATCTAATGATGGAACTTTGTCGCTGTGAAAGTCTAATATGCATTCAAAGCCACTTGTAGATTTCTGTTGAAGAAGCTCGATTAAATTTTTGCGCTGCTGTTTGTTGGCCTTGATGATGAAATGATCTGCTGCTTCACTAATGTTCTTCAAGGTACTTTCAGTAAGTTCCACTTCACCTTCAAGAAGCAAAACATTATCCGACTTCGTTGGGGATGTTGAGTTATGTACAGGCTCCTTAAACAAATTGTAGCAACAGCGGTAACATAACATGAGCCGGCGAACAAAAAAAAGGAGAATGAGAAGAGTTAATTTGCTTGTTACCACAATCATAACCTGAATCATTATACACAAGTTCAAAACTAGATTTTTGGTGCGCTGGACAAGTTTTCTCAATTTCAGACCACGGATTTGAAGAACTATAGAGCTCTTCTTCCATTCTTCCAACCTCTTAATCCAATAACTCTTTGGTTTGAGCTCAGTTTTGAAGCCTTTGGTACTTTCCTTGGAGCATTTGAATTTAATGGCAGTGAACCATCTACATATCGGACCAATGATCCCCACACCAACTGTAGCAGTTTGAATTACAAAAATAAAAAATGTTGACCACGTATAATCTGATTCCCCGGTTGCAGCAAAATCCCACACTCGGTACTCAAGTTGTGCTAAAATTAGAGCAGTCATAAGACAGATCACCCCTGAAGCAGAGCAGGTCACAGAACGTGCCATCATAAACTGGGGGCTCCCAGTTTCTGCCATCATCCAGTACTTGTTGACATTTTCTTTCAGTTTTTCAACTGTAATTTTCTTTCCAATTTGTTCTCTTAATGCTTCTTTGTGTATTTCACTATACTTCAATTCTAGATATTTTTTAGTGGTAGCAACTGTAACCACCGAGAAATTTTATATTACCAACAACAGAAGCATGAAAAAATTAACTAGAACATGTTCTACTAGTATTGAATTGGGAATTGTACAAGTAACTAATTGGATGCAAACATTCACAATCATGGTGATTATAAGAATATCCAAGGCTATTATGTTGGTGAATATATCTTTATCATCCATGGGGCCCAAAGATGGCATAAAATTACCTATTGTAATACACTTCATGACTGTGCTGCTAAGTTTTGCAAGTTGATCACTTCCTCCGTACATGTCGCTACTCACATCCAGTGGCATCTTCATTGTTACACCTAGCAATGTCAGCGTAGCAGCATTGATAGTGAAGAATTTGCACGGGAACCAAAATTTTTTGTTTCGAAACGCATAGAAAGCATCGGCAACAATTGTTAAGAAGCAAATTAAAGATGCTGCTGCAACATACATTCCAATCCATGGCATTGGTGCTTTGGATTTTTGGGGGTTAGAGTCGCAGTAAAGCATGTTTTTCCAATGTTGTTTTTGGTTTCCGGTGGTAGTTTTACAGAAAGTGAGCTGCGCAAAAAATTGATATTATTTAGTGTAACTTCCAGTTTATCTATACACTATATAATAAGGGAAGAGCTGCTCTTTAAATATTGAGTTTGTTTGGTATAAGTATATTTATTTAGGTGATACTATTTTTTATTTTTTTATAAAAAATTAAAAAATATATGTATTTAAATCATTCAAAACATTCCTTTCTTCACTCTTTTTGTGGTGCGGAGAGTGCCACGTCTCCCCACTTCTCCACACCACATATTTTTCTTCCTATCTCAATCTCACAGTTTCTCTCTAACGCGATTAAAGTTAATTCCTCTGCAGAGCTACACTAACAGTAAGAAAAATGATTTAGAGCACTAAAAGAAAAGTATTAAAGGAACATTAAATTGTCTTTTTCCTCCTTATGTTTTGTTTTTTTTCTCTTTTCTTTTTATTTTAATTTTATTTTAGACATGCCACGTCACTAGAGTTACTTTTAGTAATCTTCTTTTAGTGGTCTGTATCATAGTTGCTAACAGTAATAGTCACTATTTTTTGGACAAACTGTCAACGTGAGTAGTACTCAAATCAACTGCCATCTACGTTACTGCAACTAAAAAACATGCAAATTACTCTTTCTCCTCCTAAAGTTTCACTCAATATCTATTTTGATTTTTTAAATTTCATTTTTCTTATTTTAATTTTTCATATTTACAATCCTTTTCATTTTAGCTATTTAAATTTGATTTTTCTCATTTTGACCCTTAATGTTTGCAATCCTTCCCACTTACCCTTCATGTTTGTAATTCTTCTCACTTTACTTCTAAACTAATTTCTATCCAAAAAAACTAACAGAATATGTTATATCAGCTCCATGTATGATATAAAAAATTCACTAAAGATGCAAAAAATAAAAAATAAAAAACAAAAAAATTGATTTTTTTTTAGTCTTTAGTGATTTTTTTTTTAAAATTTATTCATAATCATTTTTACATTATAGATGCATCTAGATTAGATGCACCTAAGAAAATAAAAACAAATTTAACTAAAAAAATAAAAGAGTTCACTAAAGACGAAAAAAATGATAGTTAACTTTTCATTTTAGAATTGACAATACAGGCGTTTGAGTCAGTATATTTTCATTTTTTTGTTTTTAGTAAACTTTTTTTATTTTTTTAGTTAAATTTGTTTTTATTTTTTTAGATGCATCTAATCTAGATGCATCTATAATGTAATAATGTTTATGAATAATTTTTTTTTTTAAAAAAAAAAAAACTTCACTAAAGACTAAAAAAAATTTCAATTTTTTTATTTTCTATTTTTCATTTTTTGCATTTTTAGTGAATTTTTTACATCTCACATGAAACTGATGTGTTGATGATGTGGCAAATTTTGTTAGTTGTTTGGATGGAAGTTAGTCCTGAAGTAAAGTGGGAAGGATTGCAAACATGAAGGGCCAAAATGAAAAAAATTAAACTAAAAACGCTAAAGTGAGAAATGGGTGAAACTTCATGGGGGCAAAGTGTAATTTACTCACTAAAAAATCATTCTTATGGCTGTTGTTTGGTTTTTCTTTTCAAATTATGATTTTAATTAAAAAAATTTATTTTTTTTTAAAATTTATAATTAAACACGCAATTTAAAATTATTCAAAATTTAGTTCAAAATTTATTTTTAAAACTCATAACCAAACACATAATTCAAAACTCTTTTCAAAACTCAAAACCTCTTTCCAAAACTCTATTGTAAAAGAAAATTTCAAAATTTTTTTTTTTTTATTTTGTTTTTTAAAATTGTTTTTCGAATCATGATTTGAGTGTGAAGGCGTGTTCTGAGTTATGAATTTGGAGTTGTGTTTTGAAAAGAGAAAAATTGTTTAGCTCTGAGTACAATTATTAAAACTCCCGTCCCCTGAGGTTTATATTTCCATAACAAATTGTCCCCTGAGATTTTTATTTCCGTACAGATTTCCCACTAATTTGTTATGCAAATTTGATCTTCAGTAAGTAATTTGTAATTTCTCAAACCTCATGAAAGAATCTGTATTTTCACCAAATCTCGAGGAGAGTGTTTGTAATTTGCCCTAAAAATAAACTTAACCGCCTCATTCTTGTTTCATAGCTTTCATGAATCAGATACAAGAAAGGGAAAGGAAAGAAAGAGCAAAAACATAATGAAAAAAGGTTTGTATTTCCTTATTCACTTTGTTCATTATTTGTAGTGAATAAAAAATAAATAATTATATTTTTATAATTATCAATATAAAAATATGCAAAAGTCAATTGATAAAATTTTAACTCCCAACTCATGTAAATTCTCAAAATAAAAAAAAAAAATGCTGTCAAATATTTTTTATTTTCAAAGGTTAATGATGATTTTATTTAAAATACAATTTTTATTTTTTTTAGTGAATCAAATATGAAAATAAACATTATGATGGAATAATCACTTTATTGCATTGCATTCTAGTGAATTGAACATAGTATAAGATGGTTGTGAAACATTTATCAGTATATCACACAACGTAAAAAATAAATTTAGAAAATTTAAAATCAAGTAGTTAAATAATATTAGGGTTGAGTTTCTCTTAAATTTAAATTTCAACCTGACCATTGTCATGTTTGTAATTGTAGGGCCTACCATGGATCCTGATATCGTTTCTTTATAAGGTTTTTTTTCTGTATATCATTCATAAATAAATAAAAAATTAAGTCAATTTAGATAATTACTTATACTTTTCGATAAACAAAACTCCACTAAATAAATGGTTTTGATAATTGAAATGAGACTTGTGGTGCTCCTAACGAGTCCAAACATAACAGTCAAATTTAAATTTGAACTTAAAGAGAAATTCAACCCATAATATTAATACTTTATTAAGGCGGGTAAATTATGAAACAACTTTTTTATAATGATAATTATAACAATATATAATTTTTATTTTTTTTATTCTTTACAGATAGGGGGTGATTACATCCCAATCCCAGTGATATTAGGAGAGAAAAAAAAATCTATAAAAAAGTTTATAATTTTAATTATTAATATTTATAAAGTTTTGCACTAATTTGCGCTAATGTAATATTTCCCCTATAAATAAATCACAAAATTCATAATTTGTGTGTTAATAAAACAATTTTAAAAAAAAAAAATAATGATGAACAATCAAAGTTATGTCATTTTACATTTTTTTCCTCCATACGTAGAACGCACAATTTTGTTAGTTTTGATTGATCATTAATTAAAAAGATAAGGGTTTGGGTCAAGGCTCTGGCTGAAAGATTTTAATCAATTTATTTTATTATTTAGGACTTCCAAATAAGTTCTTTAACAAATCTCTTCCATACGTGTTGTGTGAGTATGATAAGGTTAAGATTTGTGAAAAACAAAAAAAATCATTCAGTATGTTTGTATTTACAAAAGAAGGAATTTTGAGGGTTTTGGGAGTTTTTGTTTGAGTAATTTTTAACTAATCAGTTTGGATAATCATATATGTATGTGTATGTATCTGTGATATATGTATGCATTTTTATTTTTGACAAATTGATTTATGTTGTGTTTGGTTGGAGGATTTGAGAAAGAGTTTGAAAATAGAAAGAGAAAAAGTAGGTGAAATGTGAATAAAATATACCTAAATTTCACTTAATTTTATATGCCTTTTTCTTTTTTCTTTTTTCCAAATTCCCCAACCAAACACAGCGTTAGGGCTTGTGATAATCAGTTTGATTGTTTGGATAGTTTTTACAACGACAACGAAATTCAACCACCAATCTCCTTCGCCCTCCTTTGTCCTTTTGCGACCAACGATCACCGATCTTCTCTCGCTCTCTCTCCCCCATGTCTCATGACCACCATCCTCTGCATTGAAGATTGAAAGCCCAATCAGAGTTTAGAACAAAACAGAGTATAACAGAGTTTTCAAACTGTGAACTTTTCTATCATTGAATTGTTATTGCTTACTGCCTATGAACACTTCAACACTCTTTCTAAAGTTCTATGTGTGGGTGTTGATTTTTGACCACACAACCAAATAGGGAACTCAGCTAGAGAGCACCGGCAGAATAGATTAAGCGCGAACAACCTGCGACAGAAGATAAGAATACCGTGGTGGTTCTTCCACCTGAGGGCACTTTGACGATCACGTCAGTAATCAAATATCTCTCAAAGATAGCTAAATGTGCTTAAACTCACAAAAGGGGACTTACCTTTGACCCTCGAGGGTGCCATGTTTTTATAGCCATTAGTGCCTAACTCCCCTAGAAGTCTTACTTCATGGGATTCTGGCACATAATGCTTCTCTTGGATTCCTAGCTAGACAGGGATAAACTCCCTAAGAACTTTATCCTTATCTAGATTAGAGCCCTCTTTCATCTAAGATTCTTTCCCCCTTATCTATTTATCTCGGATTTTGGTATCTCCGCAGATAATCTCGACAGTTCAACCAAGCCACATGGCGCGTCGGTTGACACTTCGGCGTTAGCTTAGCCATGTGCTGTCATTCACAAAATACGTCCCCACATTTGTCCCCTAGGTTCTATTACCTCGGCAACTTGAGGTAATGGAACCTACATCGTTTGTCCACGTAGCATGTCACAGAAATTCATTCTTCTTTTCGATCGAGATCATCTCGTCGGCTTCATAAATTTAGGATTTAGTTGTCCATCCTCCCAAGGATCAAGAACCAAGAACTTAATTCTTTAAACATATCAACTGAGATCGTTCCTCTAGCCAAGGTTACAGCCTCATTATCTTAAGAATTTCAAGAGTTCTAACTGTGCATGAGCTGTCATGCAGAGTCCGCTCAATCGTTTCCTCCACATGTCCCTTTTCTTGTTGGTTCGTACGTGACACGCGCTATTAGGGTGAGTCATTGCTGCCACGCTACCTGATAGGCGCGTCGTCCAAGGCATTTCCATTATGGTTTGTAGCCTTTTCGTATTTTTGACAAAAACTCTTTCTCTCTCTCTCTCTCTCTCTCTCTCTCTCTCTGCCTCTTCACTCTTGCAAAATTGATTTCTCTCTATGCTCAATTTTTCTCCCTCTAAACTTTCCTTCTTGAACCACCATTTTTCAAGCTCTCAAGCTCTGTAACTGCGCCATCCATTACTTCTAGCAAAGTATTCATTGGTCTATTCCAGTGATTGTCATCGCTTGATTCTGGTGATCATTACTCCGGCATCGTTTCCTCGCCTATATTCGGTGAGTTCCTAGTTTCTTTCTCTTTAATTTCAGTCTTCATTGTTTTCTCAATATGTTCTTTTGCCACATGTTGTCATCGTATCTATCGCTATTTTGAATATGTTTTCATAGCTATTCCTTGATTTCGGTGATCATTTTTATTCTGCAAATCAATATGTGTTCTTTAATCTGTTCTATGTTTTGTTACCATCCATTGTCTTGTCTTGTGATTTTCACACACTTGCACACATCTATTCATTGTCTGTGAATTCGTATCTTTCCTCATTTCTTGACAATTGCTTTCTTGATTTTGAATCGCATTCCCTTTTTGGTCTTCTTGTTTTGTTTCTCAAATTCTTGCTTCTTGTTTCTGTAGTTCTAGGTCCTAAAAACCAAACACTTAGGAAAAACTGAAACAAATTCTCCTAAATCTTCAAAACCCTAGACCCAGTGCCTGTTTGGGGTTTGGCCGAGGTCTTCAATCCTATACCAAGTATTTTTTCTAAAACCTTGTACCCACTTCATCAAGCCAACATCATGGGAATGTTTAGGTAGAGAGTAGACACCCCTGCCAAACTAGAGAACTTCAGGCAAGAGTTCTCCATTCCAACCGACGTTCAGATCATGTTGGCTAGAGAGGAGGACTCTATTGTGCCTGTTAAGGATTCCATGCCATTCCCTGTTATGGCATTCATCGAGTGCGGACTTCAACTTCCCCTAGACATCCTCTTTAGGGAAATCCTTCACTACTACAAGCTTAACCCTATGCAACTAGCCATAAATTCCTATAGGGTTATTAATGGCATCATTGAGTTGGCACACTGAGAGAAGGCTAGGATAACACTTGCCGACATCCAATTCTATTACACCATGTGTGACCTTAAGTCTAAAAAAGGCTACATATATTACCTCAAGCCCAGATCAACTGCCTACAAAATCATAGCCGACCTTCCAGATTCAAACAAGGGTGCCGGAGGTGATTACTTGATCGTCTCGGCAACTGGGGGTTTGTGCCTGATGACGATCTTCATCTCTTCCCTTTGCGCCAAGCAGTATTTAAAGAGGGTGATGGTAAGAACTGAGTCATCCTATAGTCATATTTCTGCTAAGACTTGCTAGTTCATTTATCTGTACTAATGCCTTCTTTTTGTTTCTCTTTTGCAGTTCTTCCTCAGCCAGCCAAGGACTTTCGTCAAACTTTTTCCCCAACAAGGGTTTGAAAAGGTTATTGGGTTTGCCACTTGAGAGGTGCACAGCCCTGCTGCTACTTAATTACGTGCCAACTTACAAGTTCGCTCTGCCCGACGTTCCCCGTCGAAGCAAGACTCCTTTCTCTGCAACAACTCCATCAGTTGTTTTATCACCAAGGCAAGACCAGGCCTCTTATTCTGATCCATTGGAACTACCATCCACCTATGCTCCTCAGTTTATCCCACCATCTCAGCACCAACGCCAACGCCGTGCCCTAGGGAACCCGCCAGCCGGTAGAACTAGGAGCCGCCGACGCCGAGATTTAAAGGCATCGGCGTACAATCTAGTAAACCCTTCTACTGCCTTACCAGTAATACACTTCGGTACCAAGGTCACCGTCGCTATTACCGCCGACGAAATGGGCCGTGCGAAGATTGTTCCCAACGACCTTCTTGCCGACATCCCTGGTGTGGTCGCAGTCCAATCCCCTCTCCTTTCCAGCCTCAATCCAAGCCCAAAGTCAAAAGGGTAAAAAGGGCTAAAGCCAAAGCCACTGTCACAGAGGTCGAGTTTGAAGACACTGTGCCGATCTCGAAGTTGGCTAAGATCGAGGAAAAATCATCAGCCATCAGGAAGAGGCCCACCGAGGTTGATCTATTCGACAAATCGCAATCCAAGAAGCCAAGGTCTGAAGAAGCAACACAGCCCGGTGTGTTCCACACCAACAAACCTTGGACGCTGATGTTTATGGTCGGAGACCGACCTTTGTTGGCTGGGGACAGTGCCCTAGACGATGTGTAAATCGGTGCTGCTATTTCCACTACTATCCTTCTGTCGGCCGACATCAATTGAATGGCCGAGCTCACTAAGTATGAGAACTATGCCTTGATGATGCAACATTGTGTTCTGGTAAGCTTCTACTTACTTTGCTTCTTTTCGTTAAATTTCAATTTCGAGATTAGTGCTTGTACTTCGCCAAAAAATGTCTAATTTTCCACTTGCAGGCCATCCAGCCAGGTTACTCCTTTGCAGTGAAGACCAAGGCATTCAAAAAAGGGTTGACCGACAAGACGAATGAGGCAGCCAAGCTCCTTGCTACACTGAACCAGGCCGAAGGTCGCATCCGAAGCTTACTAGATCAGAACAAGGCTGCCCAACTGGCAAAAAGCAATGCCAAGGATCGTGCTGAGGCCGCTGAAAATATCGTCGTGGTTGTTTAGGCCTAGGAAAAAGAGGCAAAGGAAAAGGAGGCCGAGGCCCTGACCAAACTCTGAACAGTGCTCGCTATAAAAAAGGCCAAGCTCAAAGACTGCTGATGAAAAGGCTTATGCAAAAGGGGTAGCTAACGTCCGTGACGCCTACATGAAGCAGGTCAACCATGCCTGTAATAAGGTTTACATCATTAGTTGGATGGCTGCGTTGAAGGAGTTGGCTATCCCCGACGACTCGCCTCTTACCGACGCTAGCCGACTTGCTCTTCCATTCCCGTCAACTCCAAGCCAATCTGAAGATGAAACTGAGGAAGAAGAAGAAGCCGAAGTCGATAAGGCTCAGGGTGTAGTTGCCGAGGTTGAGGATGAAGCTCAAGTTGTTGGGGCTACGTCCCCAACTCTAAATGAGCAAGTCCTAGACTTGACTCAGGACGACAAGGACCAGGTTCCCAAGGCTGTTTCTGAAGCTGAAGTCAAAACTGCCGAAAAGAGCTTGGATCAAACTCTTTTTGAAATTGATGCCAAGAATGTGGTGGAGAAGGAAGCAATACTGCCAATTAAGGCCGACATACCGCCAACAGCCAAGGTTGGGCAGTCCGAGATCAATGCCACTACTGCTAGTACTTAGGATCTTCTCTTACTTTGAACTATTTTCAGTACTAACCTTTTTTGTTTTGAACAATTTCAAGTTTCAATTCGGTTAATGTGCCCTCGTTTGTATCTGACCAAGTAGTCTTTTGTGAATGCATGCTTCCTTTGTATGCTTATTGCTTGTATGTTTCTCCATATCGGGGTAGTACATATCGGATAAGAATAACATCGGAGTTATCCTTAGCTAGCCACCTCGGACCAATATCATCTTGATTTTAAAACTTGACCGTGTTTCTTGGCCAACACTTAGGCCAAGTTTGGGAAGTGTAAAAAAAGCTACAAAGCCAAAAAGTTACTCAAAAAGTTAAAAAGTTATCACTATTCACCAAAAGTCAAAAATTACAGCTGCACAACTCCCAATCCTAATTTTCCCCTACACACTAATTTATACAATTTTTTAGTACACATTTTTCTATAAAAAGTCAAAAAGTTAACCCAAACATCCATATTTTTTCCCTCAACTTTTTAGTCCAAAAAGACAAAAAGTGCACTTATTTAGGACACCTCAAACAGCCCCTTAAAAATATTTTATCAAAATATTTATACAAGTGTGCTATTTCTCTTTAATTTAATCAGTCAACTTGATGTCTTCTATCAAGACTTTACCTTTCCAATCTTTTCAAGCCTGACAACCCGTTTCTTTATTACCTCGGCTAACTTCAACTTGTAAATTGCTTTAAAATTTCAACAAGTGTCCAAGCCCGCACTAACTTGTAAAATTTTCTGAGAAATTTTCAACAAGTTCTAAACTCTTTGAGCTTATTTACCATTCATGCTCTCTGCCCCCTAATGTGAATCTAAGTGCCACTTAAGTTCACATTAAGTATGCGTCTATGGTCTATTGTTGAGATTAGATTCAAACAAAGACTAGCCAAGGTGTTTCTACCTTGGTTTCCCTGTTAATCCACCTAGGGCAAACTTAGTTTAATTCTGCTGACATAGCAAGCCTGATTTTATTCAACTTAGTTCAATTCTATCATATGCAAGTATAATTCAACTATGTCATATAATAAGTCTAAGCTACTCATCCAACTTAGTTCAACTCTATCATATACAAGTATAATTCAACTCTGTCATATGATAAGTCTAAGCTACTTGTCATGTTTCAATCGGAAACATCGCCAACTTAGTTCAACTCTATCTTGTGATAAGTATAATTCAACTCTACCATATGATAAGTCTAAGTTACTTGACATATTTAACGAACATCGTCATAAGACTATTTAGTCCTATCGCACAAATTTCAACAATAAATAGAAACAAAATCAGATGGTCTTTTATTAAAACTTCGGCTAATAATTACATAAGTCCTTGCCATCACTGTCCTCAAGCCGATATGCTCCGTTGCTGGCAACTGAGATAATTCGGTAAGGTCCCTCCCAGTTTGGGCCAAGTTTGCCTTCCTTGGGGTCCTTCTTATTGCCGACAACCTTCCTCAAGATGAGGTCCCCAACCTTAAATTCTCTTGGGATGACCTTCTTGTTGTAAGCCCTAGCAAGTTACTGCTGGTATTCCCCCAACCTAATTGTTGCTCTCTCTCTTCTTTCTTCTATTAGGCCCAGATCTTGGGCCAAGAATGCTTCATTGGACCCATTTTCCACTCCCTAGGTTCTGACTCCAGGGATGTTGACCTCTAGTGGGATAATTGCTTCAGTGCCGTAAGTCATGGCAAAAGGTGATTCCCCAGTACATCTTTTCGGAGTAGTCCGATATACCCACAGCACATTAGGCAATTCTTTCACCCATTTTCCCTTAGCTGCTTCTAGCCTTTTCTTGATTCCATCTAAGATGGTCTTGTTGGATACTTCTGCCTGACCATTACTCTGAGGAAAGCTGGGAGTAGAGTATAGTAGTTCTTGATTTGGTACTTTGTACAGAAGCTTTTGATTAGCTTACTGTCAAACTGAGTGCCATTGTCTACTACAGTGGCCCTTGGGATCCTAAACCTAGAAATGAAGTTCTTCCAGATGAAGTTCTTTATATCAACATCTCTTATCTTCGCAAGGAGTTCAGCTTCTACCCATTTGGTAAAATAGTCAGTTGCCACAAGCAGGAACTTCCTTTGTCCAGTTGCTTGGGGCAACTATCCAATAAGATCCATGCCCCACTGGGCAAACGACCAAGGGCTTGATACTAGGTTCAAGTCTGCTGCTAGCTGATGTATTAGGGGTGCAAACCTTTGACATTTCTTGCATTTTCAGACATAAGCCTCAGCATCTTTCTACATATAGGGCCACCAATATCCTTGAGTTATGGCCATATGAGCAAGTGATCTGCCCCCAGCATGGTTTCCACAAACTCTTTCATGTATTTCATATAAGAAGTCCTCAACCTGGGAGGGATGTACACATCTCAAAAGGGGCCCAGTGAAGGACCTCTTATAAAGATGGCCTTCTGCTGACAAGCCAAACCTGGCCGACTTCAATCTTGTCTTATGTGCCTCTCTTTTGTCTTTTGGCAGCTTGTCATCCTTAAGAAACATCACTATTGCATCCATCCATCTTGGACCCATCTCTACACACATCGCCTCATGGGATCTCCAGTAACACAAGTAGGGTTATCATTATGATGACTCTTATAAAATAGGCTTTAATCCTAAAGATATATCCACTAGTGGATTTTGAATCTTTAGTATCCAATATCCAATTGGCATCGCAATAACCTTCGAGTACTGCTGGATATCGAGCAAAGCTCAAATCATGATCACGAGTAAATCTTAGATATCTAAGAACTCGAATGATCGCTTTCCAATAGTTTTCTCTGGGGTTACTAATGTACCTACTCAAATTACTAACAGCATAAGCTATATCAGGACGAGTACAATTTATTAGGTATATTAGGCTTCCAATGATTTGGAAGTATTTTAACTGAGATACTGCATCACCTTTATTTTTTGATAAATAAAGACTGATGTCTACAGGTGTTCTAACTACATTCATATCATCCTTGATAAATTTACCAAGAATTTTCTTAATATAATGTGATTGAGATAATGCATATCTATCAGATGTTCTAGTAATTTTGATTCCTAATATTACATCTGCAGCCCCAATATTTTTCATATCAAATTTTTTGTTCAGCATTTGCTTTGTTGATTTGATGATGTTTTGACTACATCCAATAATAAGCATGTCATCCACATAAACACAAACTATGACATATCCTTGGTTAGTGTGTTTAACATAGACACACTTGTCACATTCGTTTATCTTAAACCCATTAGTAAGCATAGCATGATCAAATTTTTCATGCCATTGCTTAGGTGCTTGTTTTAATCCATAAAGAGATTTTACAAGTAAACAAACTTTCTTTTCTTGCCTTGACACTACAACCCTTTTAGGTTGCTCCATATAGATCTTTTCAATTAGATCACCATTTAAGAAAGTTGTCTTAACATCCATTTGATGTATTTTTAAATTATACAACGCTGCTATAGCAATAAGCATGCGAATAGATGTTATTCTTGTCACAGGGGAATATATGTAAAAATAGTCCAGACCTTCCTTTTGTCTATAACCTTTTACCACAAGTCTTGCTTTATACTTTTCTATTGAACCATCTACGTTCATTTTTCTCTTGAATATCCATTTATATCCAAGAGGTTTAGATCCAGGTGGAAGATCCACCAATTCCCAAGTATGATTTTGCCTCTTTCCACAAAGGTGGTTCAGGACCCGTCATTGCTTCCTTAAAGCTTTGAGGTTTATTTTCTAACAAGTATGTCAGAAAATCTGGATCAAAGGATTTTGATTTTCTTGCTCTCTTACTTTGTCTTAGTTCATCATCAGTTGACTCTTGTTGGTCGAAGACCATTACTAGTCTCTTGTGTTTGATTGTCATTAGTCTCTTGACTTTGTATTCAATCATAAGTTCTTTTCTATGGACTTAATTTTTGTCCTTTCTTGTAAGGAAAGACATGTTCAAAAAATATAGCATTCCTTGACTCCATAATAGTGTTCACATTTATATCAGGTATTTCTAATTTATAAGTCAGAAACAGATATGCACTACTATTCTAAGCACAACCAATAAACACACAATCAAAAGGTTATGAAATACTTACTACTATTCTAAGTAAGTATACATAACAATATCTTGTGCAATCATCGATAAATGTTATGAAATACTTCTTACCTCCTCTAGTTTGAACAAATTTAAGATCACATACATCAGTATAAATTAATCCTAAAGGTTCGGTTTTTCTTTCAACTGACTTAAATGGAGCCTTAGTTAATTTTGCTTCTACACAAATCTCACATTTGTGATCAGCATCAATTTCAAACTTTGGTATATAATCCAAACCAATTAATCTATGCAAAGCATCAAAATTTACATGTCCTAATCTACCATACCATAAATTCAACTCAAGAATATAAGCAAAAGATGTGTTATTCTTATTAATAGTAAGTTTTGGTACAACCATCATTACATTGAACTTGAAGAGACCATCCCTCATGTATCCCTTACCAACATACATACCACTCTTTGTTAATACAAATTTATCAGACTCAAATACAAGCCTAAAACCATTTTTACTTAATAAAAAACCAGAAACTAAATTCTCTCGGATGTCTGGTATATGCAGTATGTTGTTGAGGGTCAATTCCTTCTCTGATGCCATCTTCAAGATCACCTTTCCTTGTCTAGCCACAGTAGAAGTAGAAGAATTCCCATGAAAAGTTGTTTACCATTTGCAGCCTTATTGTAAGTTATGAACATCTTTTTGTCCGCACAAACGTGATGAGTTTCCCCAATATCAACCCACCATTCCTTGGGATTTCTAACCAAAGTAGCCTCAGACGCCACAGCAGAGAGATTAATGCCATTTACCCCGTTAGAGATGTAATCTAATTCTGTCACATTGGCTTGATTGGTGGTCTTCTTGCTTGTACTTCCGTGATCCTTCTTAGGGTGGCGACAGTCAGAAGCTCGATATCCAATTTTGCTACAATTATAGCATTTTCTTTTGAACTTCTTATTGCCATTGGTGTCGCCTTGCGTAGGACCATCTCTAGTACACTTCCTCTTTTTGTTATATAGTTTGTGCACTTGTTCAACCACATTAGCCTTCGACTCAATGGAATTTTTACCATTCCTCTTTTTAGCCTTTCGGTTATCTTCCTCAATTCTTAGTCTTACAATCAATTCATCCATGGTCATCTCCTTGCGTTTATGTTTTAAATAATTTTTGAAATCTTTCCAAGCTGATGGTAACTTTTCCACTAAAGCAGCGACTTGGAAAGAGTAGCTAAGAGGCATACCTTCAGAATGACTATCATGCAAAATTATTTAAAAATTTCGAACTTGAGAAATTACCGTTTGGGGGAGTTTACCATAACGAAGTCTAGAAATTTATCGACAATAAA